AAAATATACTTCTCCGTGAGTTGAAAATTTCGTGAATTTTTTTTCGAGATTTTCGAATACCATGACGAAAAAAATAGGTGCCTTCTTTTTTTCGATAAAGAATGTAAAAGATATATTTCACCCCAAAAAAAATATTGAGGTGTAAATATTGTATGGAATGACCCATACGTAAGATGTTTTCATGTATATACATATGCATGTTTATGTATGTGCATTACATGATTTTTTGGATATTGACCATAATAAAAAGAAGTTGTATGAAACCAAATAGTTGTTTTTAAAAAAACAATTATGATACATTTGATCCATTTGTTTGTTTTCTTACGATACAATTTTTCATGACGTCGCAGCAACACTGCTCAGCTTTTTCCCAGCCAGCCAGTGGAGCCCGCAGGGGGCACAATTAGGACTCCCTGTGAGGTGCGCCCCTAGGGAGGCCCCGAAAAGAGTCCTAAAAGAGCATATCCGCGGGAGAAAAGTGCCTTCTCAATATATATGAAAACGGGTGATTTCTGCGTCCCAAAAAGCTCCCTCAGATAATACACAAAGACTCCGTAGTGCGGACTCCCCTATTCATCTTGTGATTTTGGGAAAAGAGTCCTAAAATTATCCGAAGATAACTTAGAAGGAGTGTTTTAGGAGTGCTCCGATTAGGCTGGCCAGATGCGCCGATTTAATCAGTGAATGTGCTGATTTTTTTTTTATTGTACTGAATTTTAATAACCCGAAATCAGTATGCAAAATATACTTATATTCTGAGCTAGTACTGATTTTGTACTAATTTTTTGAGCAGATTTCAACAGCTTTCACCTTCCCAGCAAACACAGTCTCTAATATTAAAGAAATATTTTTAATTTACATCACATTTCTAATGTAGTTCTCGAGTCGAAAATCGGGTTAGAGAACTATGTTAAAATTTGATGAGAGAATGATTAGAAAAACACTAGACATTAGAAACTAATTAGAACTAAAGGTTAGAGTACGATTAGATATCTAATAGCGTTTTCTTTTCTCGAAATAATGTTGCATTTATTCTGCCCTGCGTCAGGGCTGTCAAGTTTTCGTATTCTTTTATCAGCATCTTCACATGCATATTGCGTGCTCGCCCTTTAAAATGTCGCACTCTGATAATGTCGCCATATACAAAGGTGACATTTTTCGCGAGAAAAGAAAACGCTACAATATTTTTCTCGATATTGAGAACTAAGTCCCCTTTTTATAGAGAATGCTATAATTATCGACAGTTTCTCTAACCGTCTTCTAACCTTCTACCACAGAGAAACTCGTTGGATTTCGAATAGTTTTCTAATCATTTTCTAACCTAAATTTTTGTTGGGTTGCAATTGTTTCGTTTCCTAGCATTTCGCAAAATAACTGCTTGAATTCAACACAACATAATAACAATTGTTCCAGGTACTTCACGATTTGCAGGTTTTTCAGGATTTAGAGGAAAAGCTGTTTTCGTTATTAATAAATCTTATGGAAGGTGAAGACCGGGAACGACTTCCTGTAAAAACCTGCAAATCGTGAAGCACCTGGAACAGACTTACTATTTCAAACTGAAGACGACTATTGCTGCTTTTGTGTTTCAATGGAAGCTCTAAAAAATTGGAAAAGGTGCAAATTACATACTCTTGGATATGATATACATATCGTCGATGTTTTTGCAAAACCGCCCATCGCCCAATTGCAAAACCGCCTATCTTACGGCACTCAAAGTTTAGAGGAGAGCGAAAAAACGGTTTATTCTTTGAAGGCTTTGCCTTGATAGGCGGTATTTTCTCTAGATATTCTTTTACAAATCTGTTGTTTTAATAACTTTTATGCATAAATATCGGTGCCTGGAGTTCAGGGTTATCAACTGGTCGATGGGCGGTTTTGCAAAAACATCGACGATATGTAGCTTTACTTTGATTTTTGATGTTCGACCATCTGTAATTTTACTTGCACAAACACATTTAATACTATTCAATTTCATTCGTACTCGAAAATTCATTTAGCGAAAATTCGGTATTAGGTTTATCTTTCAGTCAGGATTTTATTGTGAATGTTGAATTTAATAAGCACGCCACCTAAATATGTTTTAAATTTGTAGCCTAAAATATGCAAACAAATTCTGGCTCGAGCTCGTCTTCTACGTCTACGTCTACGTCGTCTTGTAACTGACTTTTTAAAAAGCTCCGATAATACACCGTAAACGAGGATTCACGGTTTTTCAAAATGCTCCTAATTTAAATAAAATAAATAAATAATATAATATTTCAATTATAATAAAATATTTCAATTATTTTATTGAAAAAACTTAAAATTAAAGATAATGATTGAACATTTTATTCAGTAAAACAAGGATAAATTATGATATAAATAAGAAAATATTTTTTACCATTTTTTAATACGTTCATGGGAAGTGTGAAACCACTCGCTCTATCGAATTTTTTTCCAGAACCAGATAATTTTCTAATAAATGCGCCTGAAAAGTTGTAAAGTTAGCCAAACGTATTTTTTTATGCGGTATTTCTTACAGCTTTTTTGCGGTGTCCCTTTCCAGGAACATTCGGAATCGACGAACCCCTTCTTGACTGAATTTGAATTGAATTTTCATCTTACAGACTAGATACAAAAAAAAGAAGAGCATGATAACAAAAATCCCTTTCACTCCTTATTCGGAGCGCTCCGAAAACGCTCTTTCCAGGTGTTGCAGTGGGAGTCCTTTTTCACTCCATATTCGGAACGCTACGAAAATGCTCCTTACAGGTGTTGCTGTTTTTCACTCTATATTTGGAGCGCTCCGCATTTGGCCAGCTGCGTTAACATTTTCTTAACTAGTTCCTTTTATGAAACATATGTATGTATATTTTTGCAATTTAAAGCAATTCAACCACGTTTCCTATAGAAAAATTTATTATAAAAAAAATTTACTGCTTTGACAATTTCTTTTACTCTTCTTCTCTTATTCGGCTCTGTTTACTTTTACTTGAGAAAGGTGTCGGCGCCAGTACGGCGCAATACTGTATTTATACAAGGTGGTGTTGATGGCGAATTTAGATTTTCGCCGCGGTACTTCTGAATGTCAAAATGATGTGTTTGTTGTAATATGAATTCGCCTTGTTTACAACAAACACATCATTTTGACATTAGGAAGTACCACGGCGAAAATCTGAATTCGCCATCAACACCACCTTGTATAAATTCGCCTTGTTCTTGGGTGTCATGCCTTCAAACGTGGTATCATGCTTTCGGCAATCGATCAATTGCGGTGCCTGCGGGTTTCGAGCACGACCATTCAGGACATCGGTTTGCCGAAGTCAATGAGTATGCCTTGCTAAAATGATCGTTCACTTGCAATGGCGGTGTTTGCACGAACTGCACGCTTTGCCATGATGATCATTAATCCATGCTTATAGTGACAAAAACTGCACCGCATGCCGTTCTCTGGTAGAAGTACATATCGCACACCGTCTTCAAAAGAGTCACAACTCAAAATTTGGCGTTTTTGAGATTATATGCAAAAAATGTACGCAGAGCTTTTTTTTACCTTTCAGAAAAATCTGGGGCAAATTTTTGTTATAATTTATTAAAAAAAAACTAAGGTAAAGTCCTCCTTGCCCATATGATTAGCATGTGCTAAGAAATAGCTTTTCGCATTTTCTTACAAACGTATTATTTTGAGTTGTGACTCTTTTGAAGACGGTGTGCGATTAGGGATGCAAACGATGCATCGATATTTTTGAAACATCGATAATATCGGTTCAAAATTCTATATTTGCCATCATTGGCGTAGCCAGAATGAAATTTAGGGGGAGTGGGGGGCTCGACCCTATTAAGCTGGCATTTCAGGGTACTACTTATATATATATAAGGGAAATTTGAAAGTTAGGGGGGGCTCGAGCACCCCGCTGCCCCTACCTGGCTACGCCCATGTTCGCCATCGATGTTTACAATTACCTAAAATCGCTAAATTGACGATACATCGATGCCAGTTTCAACGATGTTTTAACATCGACTTAAGTGTGACTCAGACTTGAATTCAACTTACCAATTACGCTCCTAAAAGTTTTTGACTGGCCATGAATTTTTATTATTTATTTTTTTGGGGAACATTCAGAAGTTCCGAGTTTACTCGTATCTTTCGATATTAAAAATGCTTACTTAATCATTAAAAAAGAGCCGGGTACTCGTTGAAATTTCAACGAAGGTGGGCCTTGGAAGAATGGTAAATAAATACAGGGAAATACATCCATATGTAAGTATTTTTCTAATTGAATTACAGAGAGTTGTAATTGAAACGTTTTAGATTTTCCTTTTAATGTGACTACAACCTAACAAATTGTGAAACATCGGAAACCATCGATATATCGATGTTTTTCTGGCGATGTATTTTAGCATCGATGTTAATTTTTCCGATGCATCGAAACATCGATGTATCGATGTTACCCTCCAAAATTGCCATCCCTATGTGCGATATGTTGTCTGGCAGTCTGCTGATACGCCGTTCATTAATCGGTGCGTTGGACTTCTTCTTTCGCTTATTTTGCTCTATTGCAGTTGCTTATGTGCGCTGAATTTCTCTACCAAAGCCGATGTAAATGTCGCAATTGTGGGCGTAATTTTAATCGGAATGAGCTCAGTCAACAAATTCGATCATAGTAATACTATGATAGTATACACGCACATCCATAAATATATGTATATTCATACACATATTAGCATTCTTCCTCACGTACATATGTATGTATATACATTAGCTCAAATTCATTCGTAAGTGTTTTAGGTTAGCCTGATGCATAATTTTAGCGCATGCATGCAGAGGCTCGGGTGTGCAGCCTTGACGTGTTTGTTTTACCTTCCCCAAGCAATGCAATCAAATTTTGAATTAAAGAGCTCACTGCTTCGTTTTTGTACATATAAAAAATGTCGCTTAAATGGCCTACGCAAATAGCTTTTTGTTTTCGTTGTAGTTTTTTTTTACTTTATGTTTTATTTGACTCTCCGCTTTAGGTTGTATAAAAGCCTAGTTGGCCAGTGTTCAAATCAGTTCAATTCCGTTTTCGTTATTTGGAGCAACTAAATCAACAACTAAATTAAGCCCTACAACAATGGCATTCAAAGTAAGAACCAATTAAACTCGGATACACAATTTAAAGAAAGATTAATATACGTGCTGTATAAGTACATACATATCGCTAGCTTAGAGTGAAAAGTTGCCAAGTCCACTTTTTATGAAAACTCATATTTATTAGGCTAGAAAAACTAAAAATGCATTGCTTCGAAAAGGAAAAAAGGCACTTATTTTATTTATTATCGTTTATATTCAATGAAAGGAAAATTGCCAAGTCCAAAAAAAGCATTTAAAATCCGATAAGGCCAAAATAGTACGAAATCTTTTAATAAAGATCGAATCTCTCTGATTCATATTGAGTTTTGCTTTGCTTTAAACAGCTAAAATGTTGAATTCAAAGTTTTGCGAACTACTTGAAGAAAATGGCTATACGTTTTTTTCTCTCCTTTAAAATTTTTAAAATGGGACATAGCAACTTTTTACTCTAAACTAGTGATATGTATGTACGCATACATACGTACATATATATATATTTCCATATATAAAGCCAGTATGCAGCTCTCAAGAAAAGCAAAAATTCCATATAAAATGACGTACAAGAAATGGCTAAGAAATTTTCTTGAGTCAAATTTCCTTAAGGCAGTACGCAACTCTTTCTACTACGGATTTCTAAAGTTTTTTGTGAAAAAAGAGCACAAGGCAACCCATGTTTGCAACATATATATGTATATGCCCGTTCCATTATTTCTTGAGAAAGGGTGAGGCAACAGGCTCAGAAGTATCAGATGTCGAAATTCCTTGGACATAGACACGAAAGAATGGCAATTTTTTTCTTGACCGTTTTCTTGAGAGCTGCATACTGGCCTATATGTGTTACACAAAGGATCATATTACAGTGCTTCAATTTTGCAAATGTGAATAGAAAACTAATGCGCTAAAATCGATAAATTCGACTCCATTAGTGGTTTCTAACCCACCGTTTTTCACTCTTCCTTGCAGTTCATCGCCTTCTTCGCTCTCTGCATCGCTGCCGCCAACGCTGGTGTTATCGCTCCTGCTGCTCCGTTTGCCGCGGTTGCCCCAGCACCATTGGCTGTCGCTGCCCGTATTGAGGAGTACGACCCCCATCCCCAATACACATACGGTTATGACGTGAAAGATGCCCTATCTGGTGACTCCAAGACCGCTGTGGAAACTCGGGACGGTGACATCGTTCAGGGTCAATACTCGCTAAATGATGCTGATGGCTACCGTCGCATTGTGGACTACACCTCTGATTCAATCAATGGTTTCAACGCTGTTGTGCGCCGTGAACCTTTGGTAGCGCCTGCTCCAGTCATTGCTCCCTTCGTGAGAGCCGCTGCCCTCGCTGCTCCTGCCCCACTCGTTGCCGGACCAGCGGTACTAAGAACTGAATTCGCATCCCCGCTCATCTCTTATGCTTATTAGAGACTTTAAATTGAATGACCGTGTGCCGTTAGTTGTTAATCATGAATAAATCCGAACTTTGAATGCATAAAAAAAGTTATTTGACTAATTTTAGCATTATGATTACATGGCTCAACCCTGGAAGGGTTTTATCTCGAAAATAGGACCGACTTTATTCCAAAATTTTCTTAATGCTGATTTCAACTTCACTTGCAAATTTTTAAAATTAGTTAATTAGCCTAATTGATTCTTTTCTCTCCTT